CAAGCAATCCATACATATAAAAAATTACATTTAATGAACAGAATTGTGGAATTGAGAGCAATTTCAAAATTGTCTTACTTTTTTTGATACACCCTGTAGTGAAAAGCAAATTTTCTGATATTTTTTACATATTCTGAAATATTATTATATATATTGAAAATCTTATAAAATATTAACATTTGTACATAGAATGAATACTGGTGTAAAATATTTTGCAATGGTCAACATTACCATTGTTTGCAATCATTTGTCACCTGTTAAAGTTTCATGCAAACATGAACCTTTTACTGATTAAAGGCAATATTTTGAGATGCCAAACTTAGCACTTCATTGGTGTTTCTTATCCTTTGCTTTGAAACACATTTCACAATCTCTTGCAAAGGACAATTACTGCACACAACAACACAATAATAAAATAAGTGGCAATGCACCCTGATGCACCTTTCTTTATTATTTTACTTGTTAACAGGAGAGTGCTGCCACCAATGCATGAATACAACAATTAAAGTAGCAGGACAAAAAGGGATATCAGTGACATATTGTTTTTATGTCATCCTGTCATCAACCTGATAAAGGCACAAGCATGTGTAAATAAAGTTAGTTTGATGGTAAATCTTTGCTTGTTTATTTTCACAATTTTTTTATAAACGGAAATAAGAAATACCAGATTTGCTAACTACCACCTAAATATGGAAAAAGGTCTATTGCATAATGACTTATGCAATAGTGGATTACAGTTATTGCACAATCAAGGCAAAAGATATCAAATTTAATAGGCTATAAAAAGTTCGAAGAAATTACTTACGCAATTTCTAGGATTTAAAGAAACAACGTTCCAATGTTCTACGAAGTGTTCTAACTGACAAAATTGCAACAAAAATGTAGTACTAGTCACTTACCTAATAATTGTTACGAATTGACTGATCGTCAATTCTTCGGGAACCAAAAATTTCGTTTTATCGAGTTGTGGTAAATTTTTCTCTTTCTGATATCTTTCTACAATAACCTGTAAAGGAAAGGAAGTTCTAAAGTTGGTCAAAATTTTGACAGTATAAAGATGCTTTGTTTGCTAAGTTTTGTTTGCTATGCTTTGTCATGTCCGCACGCCACAGCTGACAAAAATGGGCAAAGCTGCGATGCCCATTCAGTTCATGACAAGGCAAATATATAAAACCAAATTTGGGGTCTTTGTACCTCCTCAGGAAAGAAAGCCTCAAGGCAATACGGGACAATTTGAACCTCTTCCAAAAAGCGTGCTACACTGCATCTATATTCGAGGACAACCCGGACACTAAATGCACTTTGACATTCAAGATAGATCCTGTTTCTGTTGCTGTAAACATGCGAGGCCGTAGCGAAGACTATGAAGTTATTAAGGCACACTTACTGGGATTTTAGCAGGAAATTTCACTCGAATTCCATGAGCTTCGGTCTGTCTTTCGCCTAGAAAGCAAACAGGAGGTTAAATGAAAACAAATTCCAGTTTAAAGGGGGTTTAGTTAAAGCATGGTCGAATCAGAAAACGTTAGGAAACTTACCAAACGTTTTGCGTAGTTTGAAAGGTTTCTGCATCCTTGATTCGCTCTCGCTCAGTAAGTGGACTTTGTCGACGTCGATTGTACCACTTGTTTTGACTGTAGGTCCCATTTCATCCATGCAATATATAACTCAAAATGTCACCTTTGTGTTCTAGTCCAAACACAGTAATATTCCAATGACGAAGTGAGTTAAAATGACAATTAACAATCGAATGAGCGAAAGTCCCGATCGCCAAACGGAAGTGATGTCAGCGTTATGGGTATTTAATTAATCTATTGATACGATTGCGAAAACCGCAAAGTGTTAGATCATGTTTCCTATCCGAATTTGTTTCCCTTTTTAAGGCTGTGAAACTCTTCATACGTTTTGTAGACTGTGTCTTGTGTGTAATATCAGGAAAAATACGCAAAGGTTTATAAATAAGCGCTCAGGAATAATTTTTGCAAGCTGTCACATACACCTGCGCCCAGCAGCGCAGGCTTTCGTGTGCCAGCATTGTTTGCTATTGCATACAATACCGCTAATGAATAACTAATCACCTTGACTACATTATGCAAGCATTGATAACGCCACACCTGGAAAACAGGTCATGAAACAATAGAGAAAACTTTAGGCGCTTCATTAACACGGCCAGAATCGTTGAATATCAATATCGTTGAATATCAATCGATATCAATATCGTTGAATATCAATCGTTGAATATCTGCCCAGAAAATGTGGATCAAAATTTATATAGGAGGTCCATTTTCGCTAGATATTTGAGAAACATGAAATTCTACTAAATGGAAAGCGCTGGAATAATTTATCTTAGTATAAACTAGAGTAAAATTCAAGCTATCTATGACTAAATGTTCTTCCACCATTAGGCAGGTAGTGTAGTTACAGGTGAAAATCCGAATCCCAGGAGAGAACCTGCGGTGCTTGGTAGAGTCGAACTGGATGCATCCTGGGATGCACGGCTTTTCTCACTTGTCAGGGTAGTAACAGGGCCGAGGGGAAATTTTAGAGGGCCCCCTATACCTCTTCACAATATGCTTTCACGTAAAAATATTTTGCCTTTTCACGAGTCACGGTTGAAAATCATCGATCACGTTTCACGCCTAAGTAAAATAAGCCCTTCACGCTTCACGCAAAAAGTATAGGGGGCCTGATCACGTTTCACGGCTAAGTAAAACAAGCCCTTCACGCTTCACGCAAAAAGTATAGGGGGCCCTCATTTTAGTGTCGGTAGTGCATGGACAGAACTCGGAAGACAGATGTTGCATGTATAGCAGGAATCGAAGTCCAGTCGCATATTAGGTGAAAGTCACACGAACTTGTTTTGTGCCGAGTTTGAGGAAGACATTTCATTGCCATTATGGCATTATTGACCAAGGCAAGGCCATTTGCTTTGTTTCGCTAAAAAATCAATTCTGTCGGAACCGGAACTTTGACTTTGTGTTTGCCAGTACTTTTACTGACATTGGCAGTGGGATTTGCACCAAACTTGCGGCCTGGTGCAGGATGTGGTTTTGATTGTCAACAAAACTGACACATTCGGTGATTTGATCAGCTGATGATGACCATTTGACCTATTAAATTGATATATTTACCATTTTGCAAAACTAAGATTATAGTATTAATACAGATTCCCCATCAGCACTGCAGGCTTTTGAAAAATATGTTAAAAGTATGTTGGTCCAAGGAGGATGTAAAATACAGGATATGTGGTAGAAAATATTCCACGTCTCAAATTAATAAGACGCTATATGCCTAGACTCTACTAGTATAGGTACCGCTTAAAATTCAAAGCGACCTTCCCAACAACAGCTTGTTCATAAGTTTGGAAGTATTTCAGTTCAGAAACCCTGACTGAATCAGTAGGAATTTTTCCCTCTGTCGTCTTGAAATAAACAGACGTGCAGAAATACACAAACTAAAACAGCAGGTTAAATTTTAAGCGAGGATTAGCGTCATCCAGCTCAACTCTGCTTTACTCACTGCAGCTCCCTGAAGCTGAAGAGCTCTCCTTACAAAAATTTCACATCTGATACGTCCATTTCACATGTGAAATAGTGAATTTCACATGTGACAATGGAATTTCACATGTGAAATAAAAAAAATTAATATGTGAAAATAGTATTTCACATACGAATTTCCCACATTCACACTGGCAAGATTACAATATACATATTTACTGGCTTCCCTGATATCAGTCATGACCTTCATGCACTTGATTTGAGTATTAAAAGAGTGTGAACTGTTTCTTTCTTCAAATTCTAGCCACATGCATGAACTGAGTCATTATATGACATTTTTAACGTTGAGACTTTAATTTCGAGTGAAAAGCGGAGTACAAAATAAGATTTTAATACGTTCGCATCGGGTAGTCATAGAATGCTTAATCCCATTACTCGTTTTTTTTCTTCCCCCGTTCATAATATCGCATGTTTCCAGGGGGCAAAGTCCATGAGGTAAAACCGATGAAAAAAACAACGCTTATTTTTCAGCTGTCATAACTGTCATAAGAGATTTAATAAATGCAGAAGGAGTATAATATGTATCAGTCACTTTGTAATCAGCGTCGTTTATATTCTTCTTATTCAAGCTTGTATATACAAGTCCCAAACGACCTTTCAAAAGCCTTTTGAAAAACAGGCGCAGTCCCCACGATGAGCTCTAACTCTTGGGGCAAATGTAAAGTTCTAACTAAATATTGTTTAAATAAAAAACAAAAAAAAAACAAAAAACGGGGAGCTAGACTTGTAGTTGCTTTGACTCTGGCTTTGTTATAATTTATGCTTCCATATAAACTAGAAAGATGTCTATGCGTGCGAGGTTTTCAATGGCAAGTCGGGTATAATTAGCTATTAAAAAAAATAGTTGGAGAACAATGAAAACATGTGGGAACCTGCACTTCGTTATAAATAGTTTCTTTATTTCTAGTGCACAATGCTGGCAACTGTTCTGACTTTTGTCTATACAGCGTGTCCCCATGCCGAAATGCAATGTTAATAGCTGTAAGCCAGATTTTCACAGCTAATTATGGATAGTAAAGGCATAGAAAATTTAATCTAGGCAATGAATTTTGACACTAAGATTCAAATATTATAAAATCAGTAGTGTAAAAACATTGATTGGTAATATACTGGGTATATGCTTGGTTTGGATTGGTAATGCCTAATGAGTAATGGTACTGAATAATTTAACAACTGAACATCATGAATCGACATCATGAATCGAGTTTTCAAAAAGCAAACTAGCCTACATATGATTATATACAGTTTATAAATATCATGATGTCCAACTATAATTTATCTACAATATGCCAAAATTCAATTCTAATATTTAACTATACTGCACGCATGATAGCGAACCTCCGCAAGAAGCAAGCTTGTTCCTGTTGTGATCTATCAGTTTGTGACATTTAACACGAGATTTTACAAATTTATTATCCTGATTAGATGGCGAGCTTTGTTTTTACTCGAGCGGGTTCATGTGCAAAAAACAGGGAAAGCTATTTTACTGAACTTTTGATTGTCTTGATTTTGTGGTCGAAAGAATATTTACACAATCAATTTCGTTTCATTACCACAACGTGCAAGCATGTAAATATCATGTCATCAATAGAAGTGGATGATCAACAATCGTTTCCTGTTTTTCAGCACGTAAACAACGCTTGTGTTGTTTCCACTGGTTTTTATAAACAAAAAACTGCTATGATCATTTCGATGTTTGCGAACGTGCATATATGCATTCATATGAATAAAATGCGCATACTTTTGTAAAACACGAATATCGATGTAGTTCAGCACGTATACCGTTGCAGACTTGCAGCATTTGCACAAGGGCGTTGCTTCATAACCCGTTTACACTACACTCAATTTTTGATACGGCACGGATAAAATTGGTACCCGTACCACTTTTTTGGTTCTTGGACTATCTATTTAAGTAGTTCAAAGCTATTTAGGTAGTCCAAGAACCAAAAAAGTGGTACGGTACCAAAAATTGAGCGTAGTGTGAACGGGGCTTAAATAGGTAGTCCAAGAACCAAAAAAGTGGTACGGGTACCAATTTTATCCGTACCGTACCAAAAATTGAGCGTGGTGTAAACGGGGCTTATAGTCTTCATATATACAGCTCATATTTGAAGTGTTCAGGCTACATTCTAAGGTTTATTCAGATGTAATTCAGTCATAGACCAAATTAATTCGTATAATAATTATTAATTTTAATTAGATTGTAAAATGATATTCGCGATGATAGGTTTAAAGATGTAGTACCGTATAAAGTATATTTGAGACTACTTAATAGAATTTTGTATTTCAACGTCTTATTAATAGTTTGCAAGGTGACTGGAAACGTGATAATTATGCATTTTAACATTTCCTTTTCAAATCTATGTGTCTTTTCATGTGAAACTGCACAAAATGGAACGAGTAATGAGTAAATTCCTGAAGGAGCACACAGCATATCGAACCGGTAACATCTTTCTCGTTATACGCGAGAGAACTATTCTAGCTGTGTGCAGCTCAGTAGCTATATGCAAAACTCGAGGCAGAACTATTTGTGCACATGGATAAATTATCGAATGTGAAATGTAGAATTTGGGATTATTTGCACAGGGCATATTGCAAGATGAAATTATTAAAGTTATGCATCTGATGCTACAGAAGATGCCAATAAACAATGAGCAAGACAAATAATTAACAATCAGGTAGCGCAAATTATGCTAATTGTTTATTCCTGTTAACGAGCTTGCAAAAGTCCAAGGGCATTCTGACGTCCACAGCGCGATTGATCTACACCGCATTGACGTCATTGGATGGAATATATTCCGACCTGGGGATCTTTACATCTGAAAGCCTTGACCTTTGCATGACACAGCAAAATGATATCTGCTGCAGAGCTGCACGACACAACGACCTGCAAACAATACATCTAACCTGAACGCATGCTCATGCCTGTCACCATGCACTCTAGCCATTTGTGAAAGTCGGCGTAAATGCTTCGTCTTATCCAGCGAACTGTACTTGTTAAATACTTAACATGCAAAGCTAAAATACCCTTGAAGGTTTTTCGAACTCCACAAGGCAAAGCACGAAAAAGTTTAAATCTTTCTGAATTTTATATATTACCTCAACAAATGCACTTTAAATCAAACACAAACTAAATGTTATCCTTTTATTCATTTAATTATTTCACAAGAAACTTTTAAATGAATTTTTCCGTGCGTGTACGCAAATATAGATTCTGACGAGTGACAACTGCTATTGTGCGGAATTTATTTTTCTAACCAACTAATTTGGTAAAATCGGATATAATAGAGCTTCACCAGAACATTGAAAACAGTTAAAAAAAAGCTTTTTTTTATTCCCCACAAAAAATCTCTTTCTAGGAGTGATTTGCCCCTCGCAAAGGGATATAAGTCTCGATATAAGTAGTATAGGCTATTGTTTTTATGCACGAATATTTAATATTTTGTTGTTGTTCTAAAGAGGTTCTGTTTCGAACATGTCAACTTGTTTAATTTTCAGTCAGCTGTTTAGGAGAGGATAATAGAGTATAAGTGTTCACACTTTCACTGGAAAAACCCAATGCGTGGTCGTAATCAGCTAACATGTGTTTATATATGCATGTCCGTTGCATTCAAATCACTCACTACATAGAACAAGCCTGAGATTTAGCCGGCTGCTGATCAGGGGATGAAATTTTAAACTGATTTACGGTCGCCCATGTGGCTACCAGGGAATAAGATGCCAAATTTAAGAAAATACTCACAACAATGAGCAAGACCAATAATTAACAATCAGATAGCGCAAATTATGCTAATTGTTCACTTGAATATTGAATAATTGGGGTCACCATGAATAAGGTCGCCAAATTTAATATCAAGTCGCTCTATTAAACCTGCGATTAAACAACATTGTCAATCGCGATTTAATTTATTCCCGCTTTCATGCATTAGAGAGTGAGTAAGAAATATAGCAGCGACAACCGATTTAATGACATTGGCTATTATTCAGTTGCAAAACTTCGGTTAATAGGGCGGTGACGTCACAACTAACTGACGTCATACCTAAAGGCTCATTTGCACTCAAGAAAATTTTCCACGAACAGAAAATTTTCCGAAAATATCATTGTTAAAAGTTGAAAATTTTCAACTTCAAGTTTTTTTTCCGACGGAAATGTGTCGGCCAATCACATTTTACAAATTTTTCTTTCCACGGAAAATTTTCCTGAGTGGAAATGAGTCTTAAGCCAGCCAGTCTTATCAGTTTATCTGTTCGTTTGTTCGTTGACACTATATCTGAAAAATACAAGGAGAACTTCGATGTTTCGAACGAAGGTCCTTCGTCCAAGTTAATAGACAACATATGAACAATTACCACCCATAGGTAGTTGGATTTTGTGTTATGAAGTATTACTCTTCGTAGTATATATATGAATAACATGAAAAAACAATTGTTTATATGCAAAAGCAGAATGAAATGTTTGAGATATTTAAGGCTTTCGAATTACTTTAATCATTTTAATATTTTTCTCAGTCCCTCGCCCGGTAATTTCAACCTCTGATGCATCATGGTAATGCGAAAGGCGAAGAGTTTAGCAGAGTAATAAATGCATGAATTGTCGTGGTAAAAACCTTAATCACCAATTTACTCAAGAAGCTGCACACGTTTCTGACAGTCACTATGCTTCGGCAACAATGTTTGCCCTAGGTTTTACACAAACGAGCACAAAATTGCCGGGTGATAAACTTTTAAATCTCACCACTGGAGATGGATGATATTTCTCCGGCTGAGTCGTCACTTCCTAACACTCCCTCGCTGATCAAGCTGACACTTGGTTCAGCTGAGGGTAACGTCAACTGTATTCGAGCACGATCTGGTGGCACGTGTTTTGGAGTCAGGTGATCAGACACATCAGTCACGTGATCAGACACGTGACTATCATGTGAGGCTATGTCGATTTCTGATAACGTTTCCATCGTTACATTATCCTTGGATCCAGACCCCCGTTCTGGACTCGAAGAAAATCCTGTGGGCGTACTCACGTGACGTGCTTCTGCTACATGGACAACACGCGGGAACGTGGTGTTGAGTTCGGGGTTCGCCTGTGGTGATTCTTCAGAATTGCTCGTATTAGGGTGTGGTTTCTGCTGGTCAAATGGTACTGCAGCCTTCTTCGGAGTCACCATGATAATGTTGGTATCCCATGTCTATTTTGACAAAAAGACAGTTGGTCAGTTTAAAGAAACGTTTCAACACTGCGATTTATTGTCAACCGACGTCACCCAAAAATTCGTAAAACCTCATTTTGATTCTGCATCAATCATTGATTTTGCATCAATTCAATTTCGGTATTTTGTATCATAGCGCTTATGTAAGAAAACAAAACACTTTAAAAATCTTATGTTTTGTCATATGTGGTGAGGATTACCACAAACTGATACAAACACAGTTTTTAGTCCAGTCCCCCCCCCCCCGGCAATCTGACGGGAAGCCTCGCAGTGCCTCGGAAGGTCGTCTCCAATTGGATGGGGGTTTTCTAAAGAACGAAGCAATGTCATTGTTCTGAACACAAAAGCAATTGTCAAATCGAGCCAATAAAAATCACTCTTCCGAGCTAATGCGAGGCTACCCCATCTGACATCTGTGTTGACAAAAATGTCGCTTGCTTAAGCTCCCTATTAACGATACTTCGCATCAACGATATTAGATCATGAAATTTTCTGTATTGGTGTTGTGTATACTCAGGTGAATATGATTGTACACAACACCAACACAGAAAATTTCATGATTACTAGATTGCATTGATATCGAAGGAACTAGACTCAGTTCCGAAATATCACATGCTCAAACCGACCTGACCGCGTAGCTCAGTTGGCAGAGCATTGGGCTAGACTAGTATTCCAAAGGTCGTAGGTTCGATACCCACCGTGGCGAGGCATATTTTTCAAGCTTGCCCCATGTGGATATACACTCAGAGTAACATCACAAACAATGATATTAGATCAGCAAAGATTTCAAAATGAGAATCATAAAATTAAAAGGTGAAACGTTACCTGATTAGGAACTTCACTAATGGAACTACTTCGTTGACTGTCATTATTATTCTCATCGGAATCCGAGGGACGATCTAACGTCTGCATTGGCAGTGGTTCCATATTGACTGTATTATGGTCATGTGTAGTAAATTCTCCCACAGATAAATCGTCTTCATCTCGTATTGGTCTGCGTAGCCTCTGGAAAACTGAGAGAAAGATTTACTTAATTTTGGTTAATTCCGTTGTAATTTTAAGAGGCAATTTGTTTGTATGTCGCATATTTCCGACGAAAAGAAAACCTAAAATCTTTTTGGTGTATAGTTCTCAAAAGTACTTTGTTTTAGCAATAAAGAACACCTTACATGGCTGTTGAGATCTCTCCTCAATTTCTCCAACACTTGCAGTATCTTGCCTATCACCATCACCAGAAGGTCTGCCACGCCATACAGACTGTCGTATTCTGGTTAGTAAAGTAGACACAACATCACCTCCAACTTCTCCTTCACTTCGATCTTCTTGGAGAACACTCTAAGAAATTTAACGTAAATATAAAAATCTTCACCACTCCACCAGATCAACCTTGATGTACAAGCGCTTTCTGTACTAAACTAAAGAACCTACTTGTGCAAGTGATCCACCAGGGGGAAGTCGTCGTTGTCCTTCACTACTGGTATTCTCTTCAGACGCCCGGGTACTCTCATCTGAAGCATCATCTAACTTCAATAGACCATGTACTGCTTGTTTTACTGGATCTACCTTTTTATCTGCAATTGATGTGCAATGATTGCTTTACATATGCTTTACATATTTCTTTCTTACATGTTCCATGATTGGACGAGGTTTATGGAAGGAAATTTAGTAGAGAACAGGGTGCTAAGGTCCGTTTACACTTGCAATTTTTGCTGCGATTTCCAGTGGGATTTTCTTCTTCTGATGGATGTGAACGAGTGGATGAACCATGAACGTTCTGAGTATGTAAGTACCCTCATCTGAAAATTCATAACGAATCCACTCGTTCACATCCATCAAAAGTGGAAAATCGCACCTAAAACCGCAGCAAAAATTGCAAGTGTAAACGGGCCTATAGTCACAAGAAAAAAGATCGGCAATTTAATGAAATTGAAAAGATCAGTTAGCCCGAGACATAAAAAATATATTTTTGCGGTCAAACGCGAGCGAGAGTTGCAACTCTTGTTAACTCTCATCCTCGTTGGACCGGGATTTTAGTTTAATTAGGATGTGTATTATTCTAAGCTAATTTGGGGGAAGACATGAAGATATAGTCACATAAACCACCAAATCTCTCGAATCCATGTTAGTAATATCATATTGATTCATCTTACTTGAAGTATTAAAAGAATCAAAGATGTCATCTGGTATTTCATGTAAAGTCGTCATATTTCCCATGATGCCAGAGGGTGCGACAAATTCTCCCTCGCTATACTGACCAACGTGCACATATGGCTAAAACACAAAATTATGAAAGTACAACTTATGGATTTCTATAAGCTAGACAATTTTTATTTTTAAATCTTTTCTGTTTTAAAGGGGAAAAATGGTGTTTCGTTTTAAGAAGGAATGTTGGTGAAAATTATATCGAGTTTAACAACTCATAATTTTCTTTACCTAATTAATTCGCTAAAGTTTCCTTCTTCGTGAAGACAACGCTATTTTTTAGAGGACGTTGGACGGTGTTTAGGCCGATTTACACAACACAACTTTTGCCTAAAACTGTCGCATGCAACCTCCTTACAACTTGAGTTGCACTGTGTAAATCAAGCACACAACCCATCTATGTTGTCGTAGATGAGTTGTGTGCTTGATTTACACAGTACAACTCAAGTTGTAAGCAGCAGCCTTGCATGCGACAGTCTTAGGCAAAAGTTGTGTTGTGTAAATCGGCCTTTTCAAAGAGTCACTTTAATATTTTTGTCTTAAGCTCATTTTCCACCAGGCGAATTTGTTTTTGCGAAGCAAAAAACAAATCTTGGCAATGTGATTGGTCAGCGAAAAATTCGCCGCGAAGAAGTTGGATCAGTTCCTGCATTTTTACTGTTCGCGCGAACAAATTCGCGTAGACCTAGTGGAATATGGGCTCAACGTTTCACCAACCTGTAATTGTTCTCCTTCGGATATTTCATCATCAGTCGCCACCGTTCCCATGGTGCTATGCGTGGAGTACGTGGTTGTCGTGATACTTGATGGACTATTGGTTATTTTGGTTTCACTCGGTTCAGGCTCCAGCTCGAACTTTATGACAGGTATGTCAGTCCCAGTCTCTTGATCTTCATCCTCGACTAATGTTTGTCTGAATGTGAAAGTTGGAAAAATACATGAAACAGCAAATGATAGGAATTCACAACTATTTCTTTCAGGATCGATTGTATACAAATTAAAAAGTACAGAATTTGCATTCTCTTACTCTTTCAGGTCATCTTCATCCAGGTCTTTGGGATTTTCTTCCGGGGTCTTATCTCGTATAGATACAGTAATCTCGGGAGTTTCTACCGGAGATTTTTCCTCGCTTTCGACCTTCTCTTGTTCGGACTCGTCAGGAGTAGGTAGGGACATAACAGACTCAGGTGGACTGGGGGTGGCAACAGGGGTCACTATGGGACTTTTGTCAACAGAATCGTCCAGTGGCCTAAAGATTATAAAATTGTCAAAACCGAAGAAACCTTTGCTGCCCAATTCATATTTTCGGATAACTGACATGCCTAGTTACCACAGTTCTGATAACGTAGGCATAGAATGGAACTACTCACCCTTCCTCAATCTCATCACTGTGTTTATCTATGACCACGTGACCGGAAGTGGCGTCAGTCACATTTTTGTCTATGGCGCCATCAAGAGTCGATGATATGGACAGCGGACTTTGAGTTCGATCTGGCGTGGATACATGTGACAGTGCACGTGATTCTGGTTGGCTGGCTGCGCTTGGTGTCCGTACCGGGGTTTGAACCCTGGAGTAATCTTCCGATCCTGATTCTGGTTCAGTATAATCATCCTCGGGCTGGAATTAGAGCATTGTACATGTGACAATTAGCCATTCTCACGCAGGTCAATATCCGCCTTCTTTGGGGTACTGTCTTTTCATGTCAGAGAATCTAGATATCTAAACAATGTGAAGGGCGACTTTTGAAAGTTGTCACTGTAAATTTACCATTTTTCACACAATTTCAGTGATAAAAATCGCATTGGACGGTGCGCACACTCAGACTTGGGAGAGACAGTACCCCAAATTTAGTAGTCGACTCCCAAATTCACAAATTAATTTTACAGCAAAAAATTCAAGTCACACACCACAAGTCACTTTGTAGTTTTGACGATCTATTTGACAATACGTCAACGATGTCATGCACATAACCTTCATAAGGTGTTTGGATTCGACAATAAACAAATTATTTACCTCCTGCGTTTCTGGTGGAGTATGTTTTTGAGGTTTAGGATATCCAAGCATGGTGGTAACTTTCTCTTGTAAAACGTCCATAATGAGATTTCGTACCAACTCTGTGTCCACTGGAATACCAGCATCTACAAACAACTGTATACCACGCAGTCCTATGGCAGCTGAATAGAGAGAAGACTACAGTTGTATTTATTGCATCAACTATTTCGCTGACCTCAGAATGACATTTCGTCAAAACGTTTTTCTTCAAGATTGGTTTAGAAACAAATTTGGAGTAGGGTTAGGTTAGGGTTAGGATAAGGGTAAGGATTAAGGTTATGGTTAGAGTTAGGAGTAGGGTTAGTGTTAGTAAAATCGTTGCTTTGTTACGTTCTGTCACTCTGAGGCCAGCGAAATAATCTCTTCCTGTATTTATGAAAGCTTCGGATTGATAAGGATACAACTACTTGAAAAATACAAGGAGAACTTTGACATTTCAAGCGAAAGCGAAGTTCTTGTATTTTTCAGGCAGTTGCATCCCTACCAATCCGAAGCTTTCTTATTATTGCCACTACCTACACTGGCACAGATCTTTCAAGTTCTCCTTGTATTTTTCAGGTAGTTGCATCCCTACCAATCCGAAGCTTTCTTATTATTGCCACTACCTACACTGGCACAGACTGCTCAACATTATATTACAGTTGTCTTTAGAAAGACAAGCTTATTATTGTTAAGCCTGGTTCATACTAGCAATTTTGTCGGAGATTTTTTCTCCACCTGGCATTGAAAAAATTTTGAAAATCCATGGAAGGTCATAAAATGGAAATTGTATGGATCTTTATTGCAAATAGAATGGATTTTGACTATCCATAATAATTGTATATTTCCATACTATGGATATAGTCCCGAATTGCAATTGCAAATTTCATAGTATGGGTTTCACATTTTTTTCCCAGTGTGGTGGATGTGATTGAATGCGTGACATGCAAAAGGCTTAGAGCTTTTCCAAAAAGCAATTCCATACTTTTAGCTGCGAGTTCACTCATTCGCATCTGTCAGGAAGAGAAAAATTGCCGACAAAATCGCTAGTGTGAACCGTAATTAGCAGTAGTCATATTCACATATTATTAGGCTATCTGTCATCTATGTACTTTACCTGCTAAGTCAGGTTCAGTATCGCTGCTCTCTGTAAGAGATTGAGACGATGGACGTCTGTGCATGCGTGATGTAGGGTCTGGTGGTGAGGGAGACATTTCACTAACAACACGAGCTAATAATTCTTGCTCAATTCTAAATAAATAAAGAAGTAAATTTGAAAAGGCTCAATGTTGATGAGAGTGCATGAAAGTCGATCAGACTTGGTGGGTAAACACGAGCGCGAGTTGGAACTCTCATCAACTCTCGTCCTCGATTGACTCAAAGTACATACAGTTCCCTAGCTTTATGTTCCACAGTTTCACTCGGTGTCCTCATATCATCCAGAACCCCCTGAAATCCACCAGGTTCCTGTATATCTATTGGGATATTGCGAGGTGGAAATGCTGGTCCCTGATACGATGGTTTGCCTGTTCGACTTTCACCGTGTAGTGAAATAACACTTTCTCCGCCATGGACACTCGACTACAAAATGTATAGACACAGCATGATCAGATAATTGCCTAATACAAGAGCCCGATTGCAGAAAGGTGCATTAACGACTGGGGTTTTACTCTGTAATAAATTTACAATTTTATCATCATGTGATGAACAGTACGAGAGACAGGGGTGGAAAAAATAGGCGAGCACTGTTAAACAGCTGCAGGGAATTCCTTTGAATGAAGATTTGCTATCGAAAATTTGAAGGAAACTTTAACACCCATGTCCCAATACGGGCGCAACAACGCATGGTTGACAGACATTATTCCTTGAATTTAAAACCATGGTCAGCTAGGACACCATATGTTTATGCACGTGCAGATTTAGCACAAAAATTCTCCGTTTGTCTGCAGGAAATTTTTGTCTCCAGGTTGTGCTCCCAGGAAGAAAATTATTTTTTCCTGCCCTGACGAGGGGAAGCTACTTTCGGGAATCCGTTACGTTCGAATTCTCAGTACAGGTGTCCTTATTATCCACAATTACCTTCTCGCTGTCCTGGTCATCCCCCACAATCCCAACATGTTCATAGTCTTTAAATTCGTCATATTCTGAAGCATCTGGTCTGGGTAATGGATCTGGAATCGGCTTTAAAAAGAAAAAATATTAAATTCACCAGGTAATGAGAAAATAATACAGGTCTCGTAGAGACTACTAAGGTTATTACCAGTATCATACGTGTATCCATACGTCTTTCCATAGCACTGATGTCACTGCTTATTTCAGAGACAGCTGATGTATCGATGTCAACATTGGGTAAAATCTAGATAAAAGGTCATGAAGAAACCTTAAGCCCTCTTATACTGATACCATTAGATTGCTGCAGTTGACATCTTTTCCAGAATGCAGGTAATGCTATTTCAGAGATTATAGGATTTCAAATTTTGATGGGTAGGGGCATTCCGGAACCCTAGACTAATTTTATTTCTCCTCAACCAAATTAATCTTCGCCAGCTATTAAAAATCCTCGTCCAAATGACAGGTGGGCAGGTGTCAATCTGAAATTTCAAAGAAGAGTGGTGGAATACAATTTTTATGCTTTAGCCTTTGGTCGCTCTAAGGATTTTTCCACCTGTGATGGGGGAGGGGCAGATTTTTAACATATTACTTTACAGATTATCTTGCATAGGTTTACCTCCCCTCCAACATAATTCCTAATTTTTCCATTCACGCTCCCTAAATTCTTCCTTCCATTCCTTAACGGCCGTAAGGAATAAATTATAAGAAACCATCTTCCTATGTACCTGTTTCTCCAAGTTCACTCGTTCTTTTTTCTTGGGAACAGTTTTTTTCTGTTTTTTAATGCCGGAGTCAGAGTTCTGAAGACATTCCTCATCTTTCAACGTGATGACTGCAACGTTTGGTTGTTTCACCTCAGAACGGACTATCACAGTTTGAGGTAACCTTGAGCCTTCTATTTTGAATGATGAAGAAAACGTTTCATTTTACATAAATGTATCATGAGGGGTGCTGCTGGTATTGTGCATTTTACTACTGAAACCGGATATTGATTTTTGCTATATGATTTAAAGAACTCATTCCTGAGGAAAAGAGAAAAGAAATCACTACTGTGTCGCAGGTCTTATATGTGATAAAAAACATGTTAATTTACGTAAACTTTAGCTTTAATTTTCCCGTCTTAGACAACATTTATTTTTTGAATTACTTCGGCGATGAACTTATAGGATGAGTCCTTTTTTAAGCCATTTAAAACAATCAGCAGTCCATGCTTTATCAGATATAAAAGCTGATAAAGCACTCTTGCTCGTGTTTTAAATAAATTGCCTCAATATGTATAAGCGAATAGCGTACGAAATATATACCACTGAGGGGAGACTAGAGGGAGGAGGGGGAAATGCCTCCTTCTCCAAACGTGTCCCCCACTTGACCGATATTCTATGATAAGGGTGGGTCGATTACGCAAAATTTTCTCACCTTCACCAATCAAGAGTGGCAGTCGTAAAGCTGGATCCATTCTAGGTTTCCCAAGTGGGATAGCCATGGGTAGTAGTTGACCAGGTAGAGGTCCTTGGTTCTCTTTGAAGTGAGCCTCAATCACTGATTGGTCAGCGCCTGCATCAGGCTGAAAGTAGTACCTAGGTTTTGTCGCACGGCGAGTGGAAGGATGATAGTCTTCAGAAAGAGTGGAACTTGATTCGTCGAATCTGTAAGAATGAAAATTGGGGGCTGTTCATATATGGAGCTGGGCTGGCCCGGTTTAACTGGGGAGACAATAAAGTTCTTATCACGGCTTTGATAAACATCCAAAATGACATTTCAAAGTTGAATTAGCTTAGTTTGATTCCAGTAACAATATAAAGTTCTTTGTACGTTTGCATGGCGATAAAACATATAATAGTTTTGTTTGTGGAAACACCATGTAAATTTGCAGTAATAAATTTACGTGGTGTTTCCACAAACAAAACTATTATAAATATAAAGTTCATTCAAACGATCTTTTACGGTCAGGAAAACATTTTCGTGACACGATTCATCCTGGCTAGCCGGGCTGGCGCAGCAAATTTTCCTTCCCAGCAGTGTACTATAAATACAGTGTAGAACGGTTCCCAGAAATAGACATCGTTTAAGTATAATTATACTGACTTGGTCGAAAGGGCAAGCAGAAGATCCAGACTTCATTTTTTTAATTATGTTTGAGATTTCTTGGTACGACGGAGCCGAAGTATTACATACTTACATATGAAAAAAAATAGTTGCGCTAAGCGTACATGTATTTGACTCTCGCTACGAAAAAAGTCTGTCGATGCTACTGTAAGTCTGAATAATAATAATAATGGATAAAACAAGGTGGATATGAACCTTGGTGGACTTGTGCTCTTGCGCTTTGCAGCAGTACTTTTGCTGTTCGGTTTTAGTACTCCAGGAGACTGGTAGCGAGCCTGATCTGGTTTAGTAGTTGTTCTACCAGTCACGTGATCAGGACGACCATAAACACGTGACACATACGTGACATCTTCTAAAGGTCGCTTTACTGCAGGATGTTTAAGTGGTGGCTTAGTGGGTGGTTTGGTGATCTAAGGAAATACAAAAAAGAGGATATGCTATCAGTTCTAAAATGCTCTTCCTGGTCCAGTAGGGATGATCTCTCTTTGGTCTAGTGTTTTCATTGGAGGAAACCGAGTAGCTAAGGAATATGCGATGTTTAGTAGAGTTAAACTGGATGCAAAAGAAATAGAACTTTTGATGTCACGTGTTTGTCTTATGTGGTTAAGCTGGAGTTACACGAGCAACAAAATTGCTGCAACTTGCAACAAAATCTGATTTCAACGCATGTTAAGTAGAAATGTCGACACATGTTGCCTTGTGATTTGTAATTTATGTGCAAACATTTTCAATTAACATGCGTTGAAATCAGATTTTGTTGCAAGTTGCAGCAATTTTCTTGCTCGTGTAACTCCAGCTTAAATGGGTAAATTATTGATCGCTTTTACGCCTTTGGGGCCCGGGAGTGAAATTTCGAATTTTGAAATTGGCTTCGTTTTTGATAAACAAGGTAAGTTGTATCCAGTGTAGTATGAAATCAGTGGGAGTAAATAAACGAGCAAGTTTAAACATACCTTTGGTTTTGCAGTAGTTTTAATACGACTTTGTGTGTTCTCCTTGCCAGCATTTCTCAATTTCGCCCGTTTCTCCGTACTCATTGGAACACCGTGAGTTGATCGTTGTTGCTTGGCAGGTTTTGATCTTTCTACAGACACCTGATTTTCCAGAGCTCGTTGCTGTTCTTCATGCAACAGTTCTGCCTAAAATTAATGTCAAGGGTGGCAAAATAGTAAAGAGATGCTAATTATTCCGATGATAAACAAGACAAAATCATTACACTCTGATTGGTTGGGTAAACTATCAGTGTGCTATGACGTAATTTAATGCACCTGAACTACAGCATCAATCTCTTCGATCTTCCTTGCCACATCCTTGCGAATCCTCAAAGCATCGCTATTGATTCTGCGAGAGAAACAAGATATGAAGATGATCCTAAAAATTTGCCGGTCATTTTCCAGGCTCTGTAGCTTTAAAAATTAGTCTATAATGGGAACTTACTCCTCATCCTCCACTATACTGTACAGATATTGCTCATCATGTCTTCTTGATAACGCCAGTAAGTTCCATTCCAAGTTTTCTTTTTGTTTCTGAACATCACGAAGGACGGAAAGGGCATGAGCACAGAGGCCTGGCTCTTTCTCGGTCACTTCTCGTTCTAAAATTGAAAGTTGACAATTTGAGTAAAGGTGAAGTTTATCTTCTTGCAGGAGTGTGCACCCCTCCTAATCTTGGCAAAGTGTGCAAGGGTGTGCCAATTTCCTTTCCAAATCAATTTTTTATTTGGAAAGGCAATTACAAAAACAATATAAAATAGAGACAAAATGAGATAAAATGATGGTGAAATTATCAAACAAGAGTCTGAGGCAGCCTAGACCTAGGCCTTCTATTTTTATTTATATTTTTTTAATATTCAGCGCTTTTTCACATGAAAAGACTGGGACTAGGTGATTTGGGGGCGGGGCGGAGGAAGGACACAAGCCTTGCTTCCTCCGCCCCGCCCCCAAATCACCTAGTCTCAGTCTTTTCCTGTGAAAAAGCGCTGAATATTAAAAAATATATAAATAAGACTAGAAGGCCTAGGTCTAGGCTGAGTCTGAGGTACTTGAAAAAATTAAAACAGTTCGATGTTCCGAAAATATTCTGTGTTGGTTCGGTTTAAATTTCGAGATGACAACGGTCCGCGCCAGCCTAGACCTAGGCCTTCTAGTCTTATTTATATATTTTTTAATATTCAGCGCTTTTTCACAGGAAAAGACTGGGACTAGGTGATTTGGGGGCGGAGGAAGTCAGGCTTGTGTTCTTCCTCCGCCCCGCCCCCAAATCACCTAGTCCCAGTCTTTTCATGTGAAAAAGCGCTGAATATTAAAAATATATAAATAAAAATAGAAGGCCTAGGTCTAGGCTGGCATACAGTGTAATATTCTAAATATTCTGTGATGTCGAACCACAGGCGGCCCAATCTCTGAACGTCCTATATATTTTGAATATTTAACCGTTATAATATTTTAAGATAACAAAATAATTAAAAAAATATTAACAATATATGTAAAAAATATATCTCACTTGTTAATAGAATCCATTTGTTGTGTTTCTGAGTTTAGTTGATGC